GAAGGGAGGGCAGGGGAAGGGGGGAAAAAAAGAACCAAGATACTCATGTAAAGGTATAAGATCCCAATGATGAATGTAACTGTATTTTATACCTAAAATATATCGATAAACTTAATGAGAAAAAAAGATCAGTGATACTATTTTTAGCAAAAGCAGAAATATTAACTGTCATATACTGTGCCATCAACTAGTTCTATGGGGAGGTAAATTTGACAGAATTCATGCAGAATTGTGACTCCCAACCCACATACTCAGGAGTGTTTTGTTTTGGTTTTTTTTGGTACCAGAGATCGAACTTGGGACCTTGGGCTTGGGAGGCAGGCGCTGGAATCACTGAGCTTAATCCCCGGCCTTCGGGAGTGTATTTATGGAATGCTGCTGCAAGGTTGAAAGTCAGAAGCCACCCAAAAATTGGCACTGGCTAAACCACACAGAACACACAGAATAATGTCAAATTAGAAAGGCTTTCAAATCGTCTTTTTCAAAATATGGGTTATTAATAATATACATATAAGGCATCATTTATTTCTAAAATTATAGATTTCTTTAAGGATGTTAATAATGATTATTTCTAGAGAGGGTAGCAGTTTTGGTGGTAGGGTCAGATGGGAAGATCTGTACACATATTTCTGATTTTTTTTAGTAAATTACAAGAATGTATCAAGATAATGCATGTAATCTTTTGTTTTGTTGTTTTGGTTCCGGGGATCAAACTCGGGTCCTTGTGCTTGCGAGGCAGGCGGCGGCACCACTGAGCTAAATCCCCAGCCCTAATCTTTTATTTTTTAAGAATGAAACTGTAGGCTGTTGATTTTCCTGGAGAAGCTTGCTGAGTATGCAATGAACTCAACAAACCAATGGCTATAGGGTCGGCCACTGCACTCGCTCCAGTGAGTTCCTAACCTCAGCCTTAGTGGAGCCTCCTCTGAGTCTGGTGCTTCCCTAGAAAACACAGGATCCTAAAGGAAAAGATAAAGATCATGCTTGATCTAAAAAAACAAAACAAACAATAACAACAAAATAACCACAAGATTGTCTTTTCCCAGACTATGTTTGGGGTCCCTTTCTGCTCCATGGACTCTTCTGTAGAGTGAGAAGTTATATTGTTGATTGAAGCGGTGAGTAATTGACTAAATGGGTGTGAATACTGACCATCTCTTCAACCTGTAACTGGAGTGTGAAGCTATTTTTGCTTACAACTTAATCCCTAATTAAGGCAGTTGACTCAAAATGGGAAATGGACTGCACCTGCCAGGAGAATTGCATGGTATAGTGAGCAGCACCTGTGGACAGCATGGATTTTTAAAGCAGGCTATGTGTGTAGTTCTGCATCAAAGCAAAGAAAACAAGGGACAGCAAGAGGGAAAGGCAGACGGGTGAAAAAAAGGGCCAATGACTGATTAAGTGGCCATCAAAACACTTGGAGAAATTGTCTAATGCCATTTTCAGTAAATTATGGTATATGACTTTATTTTCCCGTGAAACAACTGGACTACTTATAGTACTCACTAAACTGGATATGTATCTTTTTTATTATGAATGTGCAAGATGAATAACTTGGATGGTAAGATTGGTGTCGGGTTGGATTCAATATAGAAATGAGGCCCAGACTTGAGTTTTAGATATATGGGTTTATTGCTTCAGTTTTCACTGCAGAAAGAATTTCATTGCTAAAGTAATTTTCATACAAATGGCATAATGGAAAGAGCCTTGAACAAGGAGTCTAACATATAAGATGCCTCACCTCTTTGTTGTATCTTGGGTGATATAACTGATTTAGTAATCCTGAAAATTATTGGAAGTTTTTTTTATAAAGTCTGTGTGTTGTCTAAAAGATGCAAGCAGTTTTGTAAACCATAAAAGGGTACAAATGTAAAAGATGGCATTGTTTGGCTTACAATTTAGATTTGAGCCCTATTGTTTCTGTTTGCACAATGTCTAGGATAGAAACAGTTACACAGGGGGAACCCATAAATTGTCCAGCAAATACATCTAGGTTTCAAGGTCACGTGCATAATATATAAATAAACCAATCTTAAAGTATTCATTGACAAAGAAGATGCAAACTGTGCTTGTTTCCTGTGGAAGGATGGACAGGAAATAGCAATGGAAATGATTCGGGTTAGAGTTCCATCTAAGAATTTAAATGATACCCAACAGTAAGAATGACAGCAGAGGGTGCTGAAAATCCCTTCCCTAGAGAGAATAAAGAGGTTGGATTCTGTTCTCCTTGGAGCAGTTTAAGCCTAATCTTGATGAACTTGAAGATCTCTCAGCATCTGTAGCATTTTAATCTTGGGATTAAAATGAACCTGAAATCTTCTTTACTGCCAGGGCAGCAATTGATGTGTTCTGTATGGGCTTAGATAACACTAATTCAGTAGGAAGCATCCAACATATGCATAGCAGCATACACATAGCTTCACTGCTTTCTCAGCTGGGTACTTATTGTAAGCATAAAAAAAAAAAAAAAAAAAGAATGAAACTGTAGGGCCGGGGATTTAGGTCCTGAGTTTGATCTCTGTTACCGGCCCCCCCGCAAGAATAAAACTGTAGAAGAAAATTCACTGAAATGAAGAGTGGGCACCTCCCTTGTTCTGGAACTCCAGGGGTCTTTCCTTTATTTAGGCTTTACTAGTTTCCTATTTACAATGAGCATGCATTGCTTTTATAATGAATTCTATAAAGAAAAGAGAGAGTGAGCAAGCAAGCTGAGTTGGAAGCACTTTCTGTGGGTTGCCCCACTGTCCACCTGCAGAGCAGTTTTTGACAGCTCCTCTATGAGAGCCCCACTTTATAGATGAAGAAACTGAGGCTGAAGACCCAGGCCCCTTTTTTATGCCCCAGCACTAGAGATGGAGCAAAGAACATCACACCCCCCACCCTGTGGAGCCTCCTGGTAGAATTAATGTCACAAAGCTCTGCATTCCCCCCACCCACATCTTCAAGGGCCATTCCAGGGAACAGAAAAAAACAGCCAGCTCATATCTGCACAAATTTAATCTCTGCTATCCTGGTTCCAGATTCCAGAACCCTCTGACCCATTCTCCCTCCCTTTCTCCTGGTCTCCTGGCCCAGTCACCCACCACACCTGTCCTCACTGGGATGCCAAAGCAGGACCTGGTCCCCAGGGGCCACGTCTCCCCCTTCCCCACTTTTTGCTAATTTGAACACACAACCATGGTCAAACCTCCATGGGTGCCATTCAGCAGAGGCAGAACACAAAGGGCAAGGTAGGGAGAAGCAGTGAGGTGGGGAACAGGAGCCAGGAGGAGGTGCAGCCGGGAGCTGAGAACACGTCATTTCTCATCTGCTTCTTGATCCACTGGGCATACTTGGTAATGCGAGAGAACACTCCTGGATTCTCTGCTTTGGCACAAGCCTTCTCCCAGGACAACACCCCTGCAAGAATCCATCTTCCCTCGACTTCGCAAGCCAGCGGTCCCCCAGAGTCCCCCTGGACAAGGAGAGAGGAGTGAGGGGGCTTTGCTGGGCCCCTGGGAACCTAGGTGCCCACCCTGGAGTGCTGCTCACAAGACACACTCCTCAAGGGTCTCCCTTAGCTGGGCCTCCTTTGGCTCTGCCTTGGGGACTCTGCCCAGAGTAACAGTCAAAGTCAAAGTGACCAGCAAGGGAAGATGAGAGCAGAGCCTGGTGATGGTAACACAGAGGGAGGCCATGCAAACCCTGCTCCAGAAGCGGCCCCCACCCTGGAGTTGTTTCCAGCAGAAGAGCTGCCAGAATCCCTACAACTCACATTGCACAAGTTTTCTCCATAATTGGTGGCACAAACCATGTTTCCCAGGATGAGGTGGGCAACTCGGGGTAAGAAGGACTGCTTTCGGTAAATCTTGTCACACCGCTGGTTGTCCATGATGAACACCTCGGCCTCTTGCAGCTCTGGGCTCAGCATAGAGTTGCCTGGAAGAACTCAGCAGGGTAAGCAATGACACCTCAACCTCTGCCCAGGGTCCTGTCACCTCAAAATGTAGCCATGCCACACTCTATCACATGCCTGAGCCCTCCTTCACCAGGCCCCTCCTGGCCCTGGAGGTTAGACCTGTCTGCCAACCCACTCCCTCTAAGGCTTTGATTTGGGATCCTCTCTAGAAAGCTTTTGCCGCTGAACCAAGCAGGCAGGCATCAAGTTCCAATGCAGCCACTTATAAGGGGGGACCCTGGCCAGCCATGTGCTGCTTCTCTCCAGGGTGAACCTGGTTTGCACTAGCCACTCCCTCTTCCCCCCAATTAACACTGGTGCCTCCGTCCAGCCGCTCAGGTACTCTGCTGAGAAGTCATCCCAGTGACCCCCCAGCTCGAGCCTAAGACCTGACAAGGTCTCTGCACTTTCCTTGGCAGCTTGTGTCCCACCCCACCCCACATCATGACTTCCTTCCAGGCAGGGCAGGTCTTTCCAATGCCAAGGGCTCAGCATGGGGCAGATGCTCAGAGTGTGTCAAATGAGTGAACCAGGGAGGGAATGAACTTAGGAACTCCTGGTTCGGAGTTTCTATAAGAGGCAGATGATTGTGCCAAGCTTGACACTGCCAGCCTGAATGAGGTGCCTGTGTGACAGTGGCAATGGTCACCATGTGAAGAATGGTCCTAACATATTCAAACAACCAGGGGGCAGGGGTGACAGCCACAGCCTTCCTGAGTGGCACCATGAGGAGGCCAGCAGGGAAGGCCTGGCAGGAAAGAAGGGGCCACTGTCCTGCCCCACTCACCTGCGAAGCGCTGCTTGGCCTGGCCCCAGCCGGTCACCCAGCACTGTGTCCCCACTTTCAGGTTGAAGGTGGGTTCTGGGAGGCAGATGGGCTGCACGAACTTGCTGAAGGTGACGGGAACAGGAAGACGGAGAAGGGCGATGTCACCCACGATGAAGGTTCGGCCCCAGTACTTGGGATGCATAATGATGTCCCTCACAGGGACCGAGAAGATCCTCCTGGGGTTCAAGGGCTGCAGCTGGGAGGCACCGAGCACCACTGAGTACTCTTTGGTGCTGCAGGAAACACAGAGACCCGTTGGTAGACACCAGCTTTCCACACAAGCAGGCACCTGCCTCTCCTACATCAGAAGTCCTGCCTGGTCTGCTCTGCCCACCCAGCTTCCCTCGTCTCTCCTGGGGGCCCTCAGGGTCCAAGCACTGTCTCCTCCAGGTGGATTCAAAGCGGCCTTGTCTGTCTGCTGTTGCAGGTGGGTGGGTCTTGGTGCACACGGATGCTCTGGGAAGGCTGGGCAGGTGCTCTGGTTTTCTTGTTGCCCTGGCTTTGCTGGTCAGGGCTCCTGCCCCAGCTGAGCCCCTATGCCCTGCAAGCATGGCTCTTCCTCCCACTCTTCCTCATCCCTCCTCCCAGGTTCACAGAGAAACCAGAGCCTGGCTGGACCCATCACAGCTCTGGGTCCCCAGGCCTTGGACGCATGGCCATACTCACCTCTGGATGCAGTGGGCAGCAGTCACCACCCAGAAGGGGGCAATGAGGGCCCCTCCACACACGTGCTCATTCTCTGTCTGGAGGCTCACCTCCCAGGGCCAGTGGCGGCGGGTCATGTCCAGCTCCGTTGACCACCAGGGCTCACTACAGACTTCATGAATAAGCATGCCAGAGGGACAGAGGGACCACAGAGAGGGATGAAAATAATCAGGACCAGGGGCCCTCCAGGGCCAAGCCACACAGAGCTGTAAAGGCAGGGACTTATCCCGTTTCAGGGAGGGAGTAGACTAAGGATGCTCCAAGAGGGCAGTGACCATAGACAGAAAGGGACAATGACGGAGATAAGAACATCAAGACAGGAGAGAGATGCTGAGATTCACAGAGATCATCGGCACAGGACCTCTAACAAGGGAGAAACGGGAGTTCCAAGACCAGAATATGCATGTCTTACATCTGTACCTTGCTCCTGAAAAGCTACAATGCTTGCTGCATCTCTTTCATGTGAAAGGTCTCCACACTGCTCTGAGTCAAGAAAAGCTCATGACTTCCATCTGGGAGTCTGCATTGAGCATCTGGAGCCAGCAGCAATGCACTCACATGCTCACAGCTCACACACTCTTGGTTTGCACATCATTTACCAGTCAAATTGGACAGGTGCATGAATGTACGAGTGAATACGGATACTGAAATTCTAAATGAAATATTAGCCAACATCACAAAAACAAGACAACATGTTCATGTGGGAACTTCACAGGAGTGCAAGGGTGGTCCCACACCGAGAGAGCTCCAGGGCATTCTCCCAACAGATCTAGCAACTGAGAGGGACCAAGACCATGTGCTCTGCTCAACAGACACAGAACAAGGCTTTACCTACCAAACTGAAAGAGGAAGGAAATGCTCAACTTTATAAAAGTTACAGGTCATACACCTACAGCAAACATTACATAACATTAAAGAACAAAAATAATCTCACCGTCAGAAGCCAGGAAAAGAATACAGGGGTGGGGGACAGAGGATGTAGCGGAGAGAGCTCAAGGGCGTTCCAGACACTGCACTTCTTTGCTTTTAATCCCAGTGTGGGACACAGGTATGTCCACTGTGTGACAGTTCCTGGGAGCTGGACACTGTTTGTGCATACACTTTGTATGATACAATTTACTTTTAAAATCTCTAATATTTCTCTATCCCATCACAACCAACTAGAAAATATACTCAGGTTACACTTTTAGGTGCAAAAAAATATAAAGTACATAGAAATTAACCTATTTAACACTACACAATGTCAACTCAAAACTCTGATGAAGGACACAGAAAACAGCACAGGTGGAGAGACAGCCCTCACTCTTAAATAAAATGACTCAATAGTTGAGATGTAATTTTCTTCCCAGAACTCATCTATATACTCATTTTTTCATGTTAGAAGTTTTAAAAGACTTGATAAACTTACTTGAAATTGACATAGAAAAACAAAGTGCAAGAGGAACTGTCTGAAAAAAGCACAGCAGAGAACGATCCCTTGTGCTGGTGCAGACATTCGGACGCACAGAGGCCAAAATAACCAAAATAGCACAGCACCGACACAAGGTCAGAGAGCTTGACAGGCCCATGGAATAAGGACCTTGATATGAATAAAGGGGTCCCCAAAATCGCTGAGTAAAGATCCGCTGAGTAGTGTTGGGAAACTGGCTCGCTATGAAGGAACTAAGGAAAGCAAAAACTGGACTCCCTGCTAAAAGTACTTGAAGATCTAAATTTGAAAGGTAAAACTATAAAGTTAACAGACTAATGTGACACATTTGGGAAAGGATTCCTTAAACAAAGCTCCTTAAGGACTCTCAAAACACAAACCATAAAGCATAAAACTTGATTACATTAAAATCAAGGAGTGGAAATCAGTGTGAAGATACCTCAAAGAACTAGGGCGAGAGGTCCCATTTGACCCAGCTATCCCCCTGCTGGGGATCTTCCCAAAAGAATTAAAAGAATCATACCACAGTGATATATGTGCACCCATGTTCATAGCAGCACAGTTTGTAATAGCGAAAGCTTGGAAACAGCCCAAATGCCCATCAACTGGAGACTGGATAAAGATGATGTGGTTTTTAATAAAATGGAGTACTACTCAGCCATAAAGAATGAGAAACTAGAGACATTTATAGCTAAGTGGATGCATATTGAGGCCGTACTCTTAAGTGAGATAAATAGGACACACATGTAAATACTGAGTAGTTTCTCTGGTGTGAGAAACTGAAAGTGTAAATAAGGATCAAAATGTATAACTGATAATGTGAAATAGGAAGAAAAGGTCTAAAGGAGTAGGGGAAGCAGGAGAAGTAGGGGAAAGGAAAGGAGGGAAAAGAAAAATATGAGAAAAGGAAAAAAATGGAAACAAAGTCTTTGTAAACAAGCAAGGGTGGAAGGGGTGAAGGGAGGGCAGGGGAATGGGGAAAAATAAGAACCAAGATACATCATGCAAAGGTACAAGATCCCAATGACGGTATTGTAATGTAATGGTACTGTATACCTAAAATGTACCAATAAACTTGATGGAAAAAAAATAAGGGCAAAAAAAAAACCTCTTTCCCCTTTAAAACCAAAACCAAAAACAAAAAAATCAAGGAGTTATGATCCAAGGAACAAAATTAACAGATAACAGACTGTGAGGAACTATTTGCAGTATATAAAATGAATTCAAAGCCAGGCCTGGTGGCCTACCCCTGTATCCCCAGCACTCTGGGAGGCTGAAGCAGGAAGCTCATAAACTATGAGTCTAGCCCGGGCGACTTAGCAAGACTCTTCCTCAAAGAGTAAAAAAGAGCCAGAGATGTAGCTCAGTGCAAAGTCCTTGGGTTCTACCTCTAGTGTAACACACACACACACACATACACACACACACATCAATACAAGCATTTCTTAACGATATACAGGAGCTCTAGAAAATCAACAAGAAAAAACAGACAATATGCAAGCAAAGGGTTGGGACAAGCAACAGGACTTCAGGGAGCCAAGAGCACAATGGGACAAGCTCAAACTCAATAAAATGCAAATTACATCAAGAAGCCACATTTTTTGTAGACTGGCAAAAAATATAAAAATTGGGTAAAAAGTTGGGAGGCCTGTAGAAATACATATACCTTCATACATGGCTGGAAGGAGTCCAGAAGAGTGACAAAATAGGATATGGACACTAGATACACAACACTTAGAACACAGGATGGTGGGAGAAGGGTCTGCATTGGCCTTGCAGACACATCACCTCACCGGCTTTGGCCTACACTGAACTTCAGGGGCTGGGCCTCCCCAGGGGAGGTCAGATACTCCTGACTGTGCACTCCTGGCAGCTACAGGCCGTTCTTCAGAAACCAGGCCTATTAGAACAGACACTGGCTTCCTGACCACCCGGAAATGCTGTCGCCCTCTCAGAAGCCTACAACAGGGTCCATGAACCTACCTGGTATGGTTTTGTTCTCTTTGTGACCTAGAGAACAAAATGGAGACAGAGATGAAGCAGGAGCTTGTGCCAGGATGGCAGCAAAGAGTGCATTTATCATCAGTAGCTCATTCACCAAATATTTCCTGATTTTCCACTCTGATCCCAGACTGGACCTAGAGGCTAGAGAGACACTGCCCAGGCAGGGTGACAGACATAAATACATAATCTAGGTGAGATCAGGGCAGGGATAGGGCCGTCAGTGACAGGTAAGTCCAGGTGAAGAGGGTGGACAGAAGAGACCTCTAGAGGAAGGGTGACAGGGCCAGTTCTTCAAGATGAGAAGTAAAACATAAATGAAAACTGAGAGCTGGGCATGGTGTGCACACCTGTAATCCCAGGACTCTGGGAGGCTAATGCAGGAAGATTCCAAGTTCAAGCTCAGCCTGGACAACTTAGTGAGATCTTGTCTCAAAATAAAGAGTTAAAGGGCCAGGGATTTAGCTCAGTGGTTCTGCTGCCTGCCTCAAAAGCACAAGGACTCGAGTTCGATCCCTGGCACACACACAAAAAAAAGAATTAAAAAGTGCTGGAGATGTAGCTCTGTATGAAGGCCCTGGGTTCAAACCCTAGTATTATAAAAAAAAAAAAAAAAAGAAAAGAAAAGAAAAAAAGAGAAAAGGAGAGAAAAGGAGAAGGAGGAAGAAGAAGAGGAGTGGGGAGAAGACAACGACCACAGGGAGAAGACAAGACATTCCTTGCAGAAGAAACAATTGTGGTGTATGCTGGAGACTACAAGGGCCAAAAGCAAGGCCTGTGGCAGTGACAGACAGACAACGGCAGGGAGGGGTGTGAGGTCCCAAACATGAAAGGCCTCATGAGCCAGTCCAAGATGCTGCGAGTCCCGACTCTCTGGCAGGCCAAGAGTGGTGAGGCAGGATCAGGCAGGAAGGTGATGAGCGAGGTCCCCTAGAGGCTCTGCAGAGCCCAGGTAAGCAATGAGCAGGTCCGAATGAGAAAGTGGCTCGTTCAGGACAAAGGTGAGTTGTATGTGGGAGCTAGGGACACTGGCAGGCCCAGGTGGCACTAGTTTCTGGGTATAGAGAAGGGTGGCTGCCATCCTCTGAGTCTGAGAACAGAGTGAGAGAAGTCATTTTGTAGGGAAGATGAGGGGGAGACATCCAGCAGGTGCCTGCACATCCAGGCCCACTGTGTTCTGAGGTGCCCACATAAATGACACCTCAATGCTCAGGGCAATGAGTCCCTCCAGGGAAGGGAGCTCCTCTTCCTCAAGGGAAGGAGCAGGACCCAACCAGCAGCTCAGAGACAGGTACACATCAGCTACAGCACAATTTGTGTGGCCTGGTAGAACAGAAAAGGGGGTTCCCCTGCAGCAGAGAAGACTGGGAAGCCACAGAAGGTGAAAAGAGAGAGCAGGAGTGGAAAAGTCAGGGCCCATAAGGATGGAAAGGTGCCAGAAGTGGGCCAAGGACTAAGTGGGAATGGACATAAAGTGAGGATCCTTTTGAGAAGGCTGGAAGTGAAAGGGGCAAGGAGAGGGGGGAAAAGAAAGCAAGAAAAAGAGGGAGGTGTGGAAAGGAGGAGGAGGAGGGGAAGGGAAGGAAGGAGGGGGAGGGGAGAGGACTTGGAGCTAGAGGGAAGGACAAAAGGGGGAACAGAGACAGGGCGGGGGAGGGGGCAGGAATGGGAGAGAGCAGAGGACAAGGGGAAGGGAAGGGCACAAAGAAGGGGAAGGGTAGGAGCAGAGGGGGAGGGACAAGGAAGGGGGCGAGAAGAGGGAGAAGGAAGCCGAGGGGATGCAGGGAGGGGGAGGGGAGGCAGGAGATGGGGGTGGGCGAGGGGAAGCACAGCCTTCTCAGGGTGACTCCAGGCCCACCCTTGGAGGGGGCGAGTGCGCGGGCTGGTCCTCTTCAGAGGGAACTGTGGGAAGGGACGGTCAAAGGACACGGCCCCTGAGAACATGTGTTCTGAGAAAAAAGAAGACCCTGCCATGAGGCAAGTGGGCTGGGGCAGGCTCCGGAGGAAGATGGATTCTGGCCAGCTATTCTTGAGTGGACAAGTGGCTGCTACAAGGGCTCTGGGGCGCTGAGGGGGCACTGGCCGGTCCAGACTGGCAGGGGAGGGGCAGGGTGCCTGGCAGTGCAGAGTCGTCCTGGAGACGGCCTGGGAGGAAGCGGAGGACACTGACCTTGGGGTGGGGGTGGCGGGAAGAGAGGCCACCCCAAAGCAGGCCCGGGGTGGGACGGGGAACGCGGGGGCGGGGCGACGGGCCCAGCCTCACCCGAGCTCAGTGGTAGCCACAACACCAGCAGCAGCAGGCGACAGCTCAGGACCCATGGCCTCGAGGGACCTGCACCCAGGCCACACGAGGAAACCGCCATGAGGCTCACCAAGGGCGGTTACTCTGCGCCTCACCGCTTCCTCGGCGCCTCATTGGCTCTCAGCGAAGGGCGACGTGACGTAAGCCGGGCACATGACGCACAGCAAAGCTACTTGACGCAAGCCCAGGCCACGCGCCTGCACAGAGGCAGCTCCCACGCATCCACCCACTGCCAGTACCTCGAAGACCTTGGGTCCCTGGCTCTGTGGTGGCTCCCAGGGAGAGTGGCCTAGTGAAAGCACTTCAGGGTGCCCCAGTGTGTGAGGTAACCCCAGAACATGGCTGAGGGAGGGCGCCTGGATCTGACTGATGGGCACCTGGTTGTGCAGACTCAGACTCTGTCGCGTGCACTGGGGCTGCTGCGCCTGAGAGTTTCACGCTCACTGTTGACTTGAGAATCTCGAAAGATGTAGAAAGCACAGGAAGAGGAAAGAGCAGAGAGGTCGAGAGCCATGAAAGATGCCTCTGCGGAAGTGAAACTTGAGCTGGGCCTAAAACTAGCTAAGGCATCCTAGGGGAAACCTGGGAAGAGAAACGCGTTTGTCCCTTTCCCCGGTGGACGTGCCAGGGTATGAGTTTGAATCTTCAGGGCGTGACAGAGATGGGTAGAGGACCAGGATGCCTATTTCCTTCGCCTAGTAAGGTCTCCAGGCCAGCACCAGAGAACGTGTTAGAAAAGTACATTCTCAGGCCCAGCCTCACCTGTGAGATGGAAACCAAGGTAGAACTGGGATGCTTAGGCGAAACAGCATGAACTGCATGCCAAAAGTGGGACCGTACAACGGAGAAAAGTAACCTTCTAACAAAGGCCCACCGTACGGTCTAGTAAATAATGTCCCAGGAAAAAGAAGCTAAACGGGTATGCTAAGCTACGAATAGTCAGAGCTTCCATAAAGCAGTTGGTACTATAGTAAGAGACCCGGGTTGATAACAACTCTCAGCCCCACCTCCCTGGGCAGCAAACTGAACTGACACACAGAAGCCCACTGATTTGGGGGTGAAATACAGACCCCCAGAGAGATCAAGGGCAGGAGATTGGGAGGAGTTGATCATAGAGACATTTGGAGACCTGTGGACTGTATGAGGGAGGACGCCTGCATATAGTGTAGTGAATGGCTGTCACCCCCCACCCCGTGGGATTGCAGAGCTTTAGAAACACAGTGAGGTGCACAGAAAGGAGAATATTTCATACACCCAGCTTCACCCTTGCACCCAGCTGCTCTCCTAACCGCATTCCTAGAAGCAGTTGTTAAATCCAAACACAGAACCCCTGCAGGACAGTGCTAACTGTGCCAGGCACACAGGGAGCAAGAGCACTTACCCAAACCACGCCAGGACTCCTGTCTGAGTGGGCCCAGCCTCTCCCCTTCTTCTGAGGGTGAATAACAATATAGTGGCTTCCACAGCTAAAGAGGACAGTAGTCCTACACAGAGCACGTTCCGAAGGAGAGAAGAGATGCAGATGCACAGAACACTCTGCAGACATTCATTCAGTGCACTCTGAAATCTCCACACTCCAAAACAGCCTGAGCACAGCTTGAGGTGCCCCTGGATGCAACCACCAGGACTGGGAGTGTGCCTGAGCCTGTCCCCCGAGAGAGGGACCCATGCCAGGGTACAAGGAACTTCTGCCAGCCCAGACAATGGGCCCCATGTAGAAGTGCCAGCTTCATGACTCTGCCGGAACCCTGAACCGGCTTCTGCAGGTGGGTTTGCACCCTCTGCCCCTCACCCTCCCTCAGCTGAACTCTGGGCTGTCCCCCTGTAGGGTCACTCGCAGTCCAACTCAGGGCGGGGCTCCAGCTCCAACCTGCTGTCAACACGGAGCAGGGGGTGCTGCGTCAACACATGAGGTCTGCATGGCCTCCCCCTGGGCCTGACCAGGTAATCACTTTGCCCAGATCTGTTCATTGATTGCACACTGAACACAGTGACCTCACAATTAACGGTGTCATTTCTCTTTCACTCACGAGCTGAAAAACTCTTATCAAGATTTTGGATGTTAACCCATTAGTGAGGTTTTCAAGAATTGCAATTATCGAGTGGTCTGCGCGCCCGGCCAGCTAGGCGGCTTCGGTCCCCGGTGGTTGCGGCTCGGGAACTGGCGGCTGGGGAGTGGGTGGGGGGACGCCAGGCAGGTGGGGCTCGAAAGCGATGCGTCCTCGGCTCTTCCTCCTCCTCCTCCGTGTCCCGGTCTGCGCCGCCCGCCCCGGAGCCCGGATGATCTGAGCCGCCAGGGTGCCGAGAGCCAGGGGCCTGGATGCAGCCTGGCTCCTCCCGCCGCCTCCCAGCCCGCCGCCACCTCCGCGGTGCCCCCCTCAGCACCCCCTCTGGGCCGACGTCGCAGCCTGGGCCAACCAGGGACGCGCCCGCCCACGGCTGCTCCGGACCTAGAGGATCAAGACATGATGGGAGCATTTTTAGGCAAGCCAAGGGTGGAAAGGCACAATGCCCAGGGGCAGGGTACTGGGTTGCGGTATGGGCTAAGCAGCATGCAAGGTTGGCGAGTGGAAAGGGAGGGTGCGCACGCGGCTGTAATCGGCTTGCCACGTGGACTGGAAACAGGGTCTTCCCTTGCGGGGTACCATGGGCACGCTGGTTCTCAGGTTGCCAAATACTGCTGTGAGCATTTGTCAGATCCCATCGCCAATAATCAGGATGTTAAAGGACCTTCAGGAGCACCTGCTGTGGAGATGTAAAGATGGAATCATAGCAGGTTTGCTGGGGATTGATGACCACTGACAGCTATGTCAGAGAAGAAACATGGTGCAGACAGCAGTGGGGCAACAGCTGTGGCTGTCCTGATTTCTCCTCAGCACACTCATTTCATTAACTGTGGAGACTCAAGAGGTTTACTTTGCAGGATCAGGATCATTCACTTCTTCACACAAGATCACAGACCAAGTAATCCTCTGGAAAAAGACTGAGTTCAGAGTGCAGGTGGCTCTGTGATGACAGCGTGAACGGCTCTCTGGCTGTGTCTAGGCCTTGGGGGTTTTGATTCCAAATGTGTCCACGGAAAGGTCCTGCGGAGCAGCTTGTCTCACCAGAGCCTGAAGTCCATGACACTGGGAGATCTGAAGAAGACGATCAGTTCATTATTCCTGCAGGTGATGGTATCTGGGATGTTATGGGAAACAAGGAGCTCTGTGGTTGTGTAAGATCCAGGCTGGAAGTCACTGATGATCTTGAGAGCGTTTGCAATGAAGTAGTTGACACCTGTTCGTATAAGGGAAGTTGAGACAACATGAGTGTGATTTTGATTTGTTTTCCTAATGCACCCAAAGTATCTCCCGAAGCAGTGAAGGAGGAGGCAGAGTTGGACAAGTACCTGGAATGCAGAGTAGAAGGTGGATCATTTAACCAAAAATAAGTAGCTTTATTAAAGGAAAACCTTCAACAGGATCACACTTAAATGTTTTGCTTTTAGTTCTTTACATGACTTTTACATCTAGTGTTTAGTGTACAAAAGTGGAAAAGGGCATTCTGTAGCAGCTGTTTAGATGTGTACATGCAGCTGTCCTACCACACTATATTAGAAATAATAGGCCAGGGATTTAGCTCAGTGGTTCCAGCGCCTGCCTCACAAGCGCAAGGTCCCGAGTTCGATCTCCGGTACCAAAAAAAAAAAAAGAAACCACAGCTACTGCAGCCTGTTAAATCAGGGTAAATCAGGTTGTTCTAAAAGGCTAAAGTCTTATGGGCTCAAAAATTCTTGATGAATTCACTGGCATGAGTAAATTTTATGCCAGAAAAAAACTGATTTGTGGTTTAATTATACCATCTTTCTGTGAAAGATGTACTACTAAGTATTGTCATTCATTGGCTGTACTAAGCAGTGTATATTTTTCTCTTTTTTTGGTACCGGGGATCGAACTCAGATCCTTCTACTTGCAAGGCAGGCAGCGGAACCACTGAGCTACATCCCCGGCCCCTAAGCAGTGTATATTTTTCACTACTTAAAAGATCTTGAATTTTTATTTTTAATCATTTCAGTATAAGCTACTTATAGATAATATAGTTTAAAGTTTGAATGCTACAAAGTCATTGGTTTAAACCACTAATTAGGAGAAAAACATGAAACCATAGAATAATATGTATGGGATAAGTTGGTATTTAATGTTTTGGCACTTTAAAGTAACTTGGGCATACATGTTTTCTTACTGACTTGAAGAAATAATTATTAGTGCTTTTACTATGAAATGGAGTCAGATTTTAGAAATGTATTGCAACTTTTAAGTGTGCATTCTAAGTTTTTGAAGGAATTATGAAATACTCATTTTACATAATTTTGTTAAAATATTTTTATATTACTTATCGAGCAAGTAGTTGCCTCCTGGATAGAATTTACATTAATACTCAATATTTTTGATATGTTGAACTGTTACACTTGTACCATTCAGTTGGAGATTGTGTGTCATAAATTAAATATGGTATTCTTTATGTAGATGTGGTGAGACTGCAGGTAGAGTGTACGTATTACATTAATTAAAACTGTTGGGCTGGGGATTTAGCTCAGTGCTTCTGCCACCTGCCTCGCAAGCACAAGGTCCTGAGTTCGATCCCCGGTACCCCCCCCAAAAAAAAACTGCTGCTATTTAAAGACATAGAATGTAACCACATTGTAAAAGATACTGTATGTCTTAAGAGAAAAAGAAATGCATTCATTTCCAAAACAGGGGCCAAATCTCTTTTTCTTTTAAGGACTTGCCTTGACTAAATAGCTGTGACCTACTAAACTTTATTTTATGTGCTTCCAACATTTTGGGTTTTTCTGTCCAAAACGTACAAAAAGACAAAGCTTTCCACACTTTCCTCTCTTATGTTGTCTGTGCCCTTCTAAGTCCTTGACTGGCGGTGTAAAGAAATGCTGTTTGTTATATAACCAAACTACCATTAAATTAGTGGTTCTTCTAAGCCAATTTAAGATTATACTCATGTGTATATATTTTAAAAATATTTGCTGTGGGATGCCTGAGCTTTAAAGTCGCTAATTTGAAGACAACTGATAGAATTCCTCAAAAGTTGATGGGGA